CTCAGAAGAAATATAAGCTGATATTCCCTTTACGAGAAGAAATTGGAAAGTCAGGATCGCCAACAGCTGAGTGCCAAGCGGACAAATTGCTCCGACTGTAAAATGGAGAAATGGGCAATGAATTTCAGGAAGTCCCGGGCAAACTACGACTGTTCCTGGAAGATTTGAAATTGTAGAATAGCGGGACTGGACTTAACTGTCGTGTGTAAGAATACATTTTACGATGCAATCTGTCTGCGTGTTTCATCCCTTAGCTGCAAACACAGATCGAGCTTTGCATGCGGGTAGGAGCGGGAATCATCAGTACAGCCTGAACGACAAAACCACTATTTTTTTTTTTTTATTAATAAATTCAGAGTAGGAGCTGAACCTGCGAATTTTGGATCCTCCGAGTATGCTCTAAGCGAAATATACAGCACAAAAGTCACAGGAAGTGAAAACAAAACAACAAACCACGAAGAAATGTTAAAGAAGTAATAACTGAGTGAATATTTATACCTCATCCTTATCGGACAGTAATTTGACGAGCTCGGGGATTGCTTTCGTGGTTAGTTCGGTCTCATCCTGAAGACTGAGCAATTCGATAACAGCGGTTGTGAGAAGCTGGCTTGGTTCCGATAAACTTGTAACAATGCTCGAGCGGCTGGGTGGTGGCGGATGAGTGGATGCATCGCCGCATAAGTCCGGGAACATCGCTGCACGAATACGTTCGCTACGCGTCTGCGCATAGCTATCATTTAACTCTGAAAAGCGGTTAATTATCCGTATCAGAACATGAAAATGTTGGGAAATTTCTGAGAAGTGGCGATGTGATGTTTTTTTAGCAGAACCAATCAGAAGGAACTCAAAATTGCCGCAGATGAAATGAATATGATCACTATGGCACAAGCTAATTATTCACAACAATAAACTTTCAAACAATGATTTATTGCTTTTTGCTAAAAATTGCGTAAGGAGCCACTGCTTCATTATGATACAGCATCCTCAGTCCTCGGTCCATAGAACAATAAATAGGAACGCACCAGACTAGCCGGTGTGATCATGCGTTTTGTGCAATTCAGCCTATCGAACGATTGTCTATTAATGATTTTCACTGCTTCGGACTTTTGTCGGACTTTTGCAAAAATAGTTCAAACATTGGAAAATAATTAAAAATTTCACGCATCAGCGCATGGAAGCTGAATTCGAAACCTTGAAGGGTGAATATCTTTCCGTGATTCCCGAGTTAATAGTTTAACCGCCAAAATTCTCACAAGGCCGCAGGTGATACTCAACAGCGAGGGAACGCTGAATTTGAACAGGCAAGGTTGAGCGTGGGCAGGGGGTCA